TATTATATTAACTTAGTACACTAGTACTAATTTAGGAGTAAAATAAAAAATATATTACACAATAGTATTAATTTAGAAGTAAAATAAAAATATACAATACAGTAAGGTAAACTTAGAAATAAAGTATAAATAGTTAGACTGATGTGGCTGATAAGTTTAAGAATTCGAATAATTTTACGGTTATGAATAGTAAACTTTTTTTTTCATAATTTAATAATATCTAGCTATATTAGATTTTAATATGTTAAAATACTTTTTATTAGTTTATCACGCAGAAAGTATGGACAAAAATTGAAAGTATTATCAAAAGTGCTATCGAAAGTTAAAAATGCTATAAAAAAAGTACTATTGAAAGTTAAAAATGCTATGAAAAAAGTGTTAAAAATGCTATAAAAGTTTTAAAAGTCGAAACCTGAATTATTGACTAAAAATTTCTCTGGTCAAGAAATTTCTGAATTACATACAGTGCAAAAAACTAAAAAATTCTTTATACAAAAATTCACCTATACATAAGTTTCTTATGAAATTTTAATATGTTATACCCTAATTTAATATCAAAAAAAAAATATAGCTCTAACCTAATAGCAAAGTCATTAATACTATAGAATCTTGGTAGTAAAATAATAAATTGTTGAAATCAAGTATAAACAAACCTCAGTTTTCTATTTTTTATGGATTAATCAATAAATTTAAAATAAACTATTAATATTTACTATACATCACATGATGCCTTGTATTTCATAATAAAAGATAATTTTTTAATAACTCACCGGAGGCATGACAATAGTGATTTGGAAGTTTTTATTATTGTTATTTTCTTCATTTTCAATTCAAAGGTTTTTAAGAGTAAAATAGAAGCTTTTATATTTTTTGTAAAGAAAAAGGGTATTTAAAAGCTTTGAATAAGTATTTTATCTTTTTCATACTAAAAAACTCAAAATAACAGGTATGGGCATTATTTTAAGTTTTTATGGTAGCTAAGATTCTTAAAATTTAACGGATTTTCTTAAAAAAATAAGGCTTTAAGTTAATTTTACATTATTATATTTAATCTTACTAATTTATATCTTTCCTCCTATTTCTCTTTACTCTAAGCCCTTACACAGCTTTTCTTCAATACTCTGCTATGCGTATCTTTCTTCACAAATGTTCTTGGCTTCATGCTATATCTGTTTTTGAATTAGGTTATCATGACCATGATACTCTATTTGCTGAAGCTTTTCACTTAATACTTCAAATATATGAAAATTTTCTAAATTGTCCTAGTCTATTAAATTAAAACTTGATATATTTTACCATTTTGGAATCAGGTATCTAAAAGATTTTCAAAAAGCCTTATATTGGTATGAACGTGCTTTAAAAAACCTCTTAATATCAATGGTATTAATACAAGAATGTAATTCTTTGATTAATGATATATATCAAAGTTATGATTCTTCTTTATTAACAGTCATTAAAAATGAATTATTAATATTTGATCATTCGAATGGAGAGTTTTAAAGAAATGGGCATTCACTACTCGACTATCCTTTTTATTCTATATTATTTTTCTTTTTTTCAATAATATTCGATTCAAGGTAAGTTCGTAGCAATTAAGAAATGCTTAATTATATTATTTCTAAGTATATTATCCTTTTTATGAGCTCATTTTTTGTTCTCTCTAAGCCACAAAAAAACTTTTGAGAAACTGAGAAAATATAAATATAAACTTCGCCAATAAGAAAAAAAAATACATTAGTTAAGGTTCGTAAGTAAATCGATACTAAATAAAAATAATAATAAATGATCATATAGTAAAAATATATTCTGAATATATAACAGAATGTATAGTTTTAAGAATATTATTATAATACTGTATATTTTATCTATTTATTTGATTAAAATAATAATTTTTTGCAGTAAAATTCAGTATATAATTATGATCTAATCTATCTAAAAAAAAATTCAATACTTTTTAAAGGTGTTTAAAATTGTAACTCCTTGATAAATATTTAGAACTTTACAAAAAAAGTGTAACTTTATAGTTCTAGATAAGGCCTACAAAGTTATGCTTTTTTTTTTTTGAGGAATTTCACTTATTATTATTCATTAAGAAGATGCAATTGTAGAAAAAACATAACAGGTTTTTAAAAGTGTCATCATCATTAAAATACTATTCGATTAGTTCCTAAAACTATAAATATAGAATATATATAAAGAATTACACGAATACTTACTGCATATTTTTTATTTTTTCTGTTTACTATAGGAATTATTTTAGCATCATTATCTCAAATTTGACTAATAATTAAAATTAATATATGATGCTATAATAGGAGGTCTAAATAAAAGACAAAAGAGAAAATACGATAAGAAAAGCAAAATAAATAATAATACTTAAACTATGATTTAAAAAAAGACAAGTTGAAATCTAAAGCCTTCTTAAGATTGAACATGAAGGGTATTTATACATAATCTGAAGACATTTCAAATATTTTGATCATTAATAACAATTTAAGATACATAGAGTTTTTGTCTTGAAAATGACCTTATAGGACATAGTAATTACTATGTCCCATAAGGTTATTTTTAAGGCAAAACTCTTACATTTTAATAATAACTAATTAATGATGAAAGAAAAAATAGGAAAATAATAAAAATAATTAAGAAAAAAATTCTTTAAATAGTAAAGGCTTACCAAAAGAAACCTTAATCTTTTAATTTGCTATCATTTTTAAATTTATACTTTAGCTCAAGCTCTGCTATTTGCAATTTGTAATTTATTTCCATTTGTGCTACTATTCTTTCATTTTCTATTTTTAATTTTTCATACTTTAACTCTATTTTACTTTTCCTCTTTTTTATTTTTTTGTCAAATTCCTTGTTAAATTTTTCTCGTTCAAACTCAATTCATGTGAATTCTGCAGATACTTTCTGTTTAACTGATTCTTCTTTTACAGTTAATGATTTATTTTTTTGTTTCTCTTAAATGATTTAGTTCATCTAAGAAAAGTTGATCAGTTTGGCTTATTTTTCGCTTATGCTTTTCATTATTAATATCATGAACCGTAAGCTAATACAAATTTTATAAAAAACAGAACAATAGATTATATCACATTTCCTGACAATTACACTAACAGGCTATTTACATGATATCACACATTGTGACAATTTACTAACAATATACAACTGCAACTAATAAATACTAAATTGTCATGATGTGTAATATCAAGTAAATGGTCTAGACCAGGGTTCTGCAAATGTCCTTACCAGGTACATTGGGCACTATACCTAGCATTAGTGCTTGAGCAGTGCCTATGACCATAGGCTTAAAGTGCCAGGCACTTTTGGGCCAGGCATTTTTTGTAGCATGGGCATTTTGTGCCTGGCTTATGCCTAGCATCTGTTTTTATAAGTCTTTGATACTTTTAAGTTAGGTACAAAGTACCTGTAGATACAAAAGTGCCAGGCACTTTTAGACTAGGCACTTTGTGCCTATGCCAATGTCTATGCTGATGCCTTAAAATTTTTTGTTTGACATGGACACATGCTGGGTTTGCAGATCCCTAGCCTAGACATTTTTGTAAATTATAAAGAAATACCTTTTCTTTTTCATCTAAAGTTAAAGATGAAATTAAGTAATCAGAATTGATATTTTCCTGACTACTAAATAGACTATCAATCTTTTTTAAATAAGGCTACTTAGAGGTTGCTTTACTAGTTACTTCTTTTTTTTCATTAGTGTATTTTGTTCGAAGGCTAAGCATCTTAGCTTTTACCTGTTTTCCCATTTTATTATTTCCTAACTTATAGGTAGCACATCTATAGAACTTTGTTTTATTAGTTATATAAAGTTTCCAATTTATGGCTAATATATCGAGAAACTTATTAATATCAGAAGACAGCTAAAGAGTAGTACTAAAAGAATCTTCAAGTTCACTCTCATCAATTATTTTATCATCTTCAATATGTTCAATATGTTCATCAAATTTTTCAGTTATTTTTAACTCTTCATCAGATATATAAGTTTGGCCTATTCTGTCTAGAAATAGCAAATGTTTTTTATTACATAATTAAAAACAAGTAATGATAAATTAAAAAACAGATGATCATTATTTAAATCAGTATTCAGACTTTAATCATCATATGTTTTAAACAGGTAAAAAAATGTTTTAAACTGTTTTTTTACCATCTTTAATTCTGTCTGAATACTGATCACTTCGTGCGAGTAGGATTGAATAATCTGAATACTGATCACTTTATGTGAGTAGGATTGAATAATCCAAATACTGATCACTTCGTGTAGGTGGGATTGAATAATCTGAATACTGATCACTTCGTACAGGTGGGATTGAATAATTTGAATATTGATTACTTCGTACGAGTGGGATTGAATAATCTGAATACTGATTGCTAGGTGTGAGTAGCACAGAATAATCAGAATATTGACATAAAGAACTATCTTTATTTTGTTCCTAATTGAGTAGATAGTTTTGCATTTTATAAGATGTATAGTTTTGTAGATTGTAATTCACAAAACGATATAGACTTTTATCACTCATTTTCAAAATTGCAAAGAAAAAAATTCTCACTATTTATGTATTTAAATGATGTTAATTAGTAATAATTACAATTTTATGATTACGATCTATTTAAAGAAAATAAAATATTTAAAATAATCAATAATGTTAATGCAGCTATTCAAATAATAGCTCTATTATTCTCAAAGTTTATTTATTTATTATTATTATCTTATTATTTTGGTATTTCCTTTATAGAAATAACAATAATTAAGAAGTAGTAAGCAACAATATATTGCATATATGTAAGTAAATTGATTAATAACTTTAATTAAAAATAATTATCTTTGAATCAAAGTTGTAAATTACCATAAATTACTATAACTCTAGATAATGATAAATGTGTATAAAATTCGATTTACACTTCTTTTACTAAGTTACCAAATTATTTCAGAGTTAATATTAATTTAACTGAAATTAAAGTTTAATAAATATCAAGAAGATAGAACCTAAAAGATAGATTAGATAAAAAAGGTTAACAATTACTTCAAGTTTAAACTCGTTAAGCTGATAAATAGACGAAGAAAATTGTTGTTTTGAGATATTTACAGGTGAAAGTACAGGTAGTATTGATACATCCAATTGTTGTGTATAATATAATAAGGATGCAGTAGCATCTGGTTGCTGTATTAGTAATAGTTGTTAAGTGTTTTGATATGTGATATATGAATTAAGTTGTTTAACACCATATTTTAGGCTAAGTAACATAAAACTTCTTGTACAAAGACTCATAGATATTATCGTACCAGAATTAATTATTGATTGTAATTAAATAGAGGAAGTATTAACAGAGGGAAATATGGAGTAAATGATAGTAAGATTATAATATTTGGTTTCTATTAGATGATAAAATAGAGAAAGAATAGAAGTTGGTTTACGTCAAGAATTTTTAAATTTCGTTAAAGAACAGTAAATTATTAAAAAAAAAATTAATTCAAATCAAGTGAACTGATTAGACTTGAATTTTTTTTTCAAACATTTATAATCGTTTTATATATATTTTTTAAATAATCTTAAGAATTTATAATGCCAAAGGATTGGTTTATATATGCATTATAGACAATTGATAAGGGAGATTACATGTATATTTTTTTTTTCTAGTCAAGAAGGAATATTTTTAATATTAGTTATATTAGTATATATTAAATGCTAATAGCTAAGAATTTTAATCTATGTAATTTTTTTTATTTATTTAACTATTAACTATAATTTTATACGTAACAGTACGTATTAATGTTATACATCAGAATGAAATTATTATAGATTTAGAAACTAATTAAGTTAATTTCAAATAAATATTGGTTATAATAGAATTCTAAAACGTACTTGAGTTGTTAAAGAATTCAAATTAACTTATCGAGCAAATGTGCGAACAAAGATTCACAAAAATGACCAACTGCTATATATTCATTTTTAATTACTTTTTTTATGATAATTCAGGTCATTCAGCAGGTAACCAAGGTGACATTTTTTTAGACAGGTCCAATTACTAATTATGATATGAATAAATAATAAATTTAAATACTGCTGTTTAAAATAATAAAAATATCAACATGATTTGCAGCAATACTAATACTGATAATATTTTCTTTCTAATTACAGAATTTCCAATAATTAAAGTTGGTTTAAAGAATAACATCCATTAAATTTTGTCACTTAATTATGCCTTCATTTCTTTCTATTTGATGTCTATTATTATTATTATTTCGATGTCTATTATTATTATTTCGATGTCTATTATTATTATTTCGATATTCTAATCTTACTATGTCTCTTGATTCTGAACGTGTTCTTGGGAGCACTATCCAAATATCATTATGTTTTTCTATAATATTATAGAGAATTAATGCTATATCGATAATCTTAGTTGCAAGTTTAGTATCTTTAGTTCTTACTTCTTTCAAAAATTGAAATTGATTTTTTAATTTGCCAAAAGCCTATTCTACTACAACACGCGTTTTATTATGCTTTTTGTTAAATAAGATTTGTCAACTTGTATGTGATTTAAAAGACAGAATGTATCTTTTTGAGATAGGATAAGCCGAATCAGCAAGAATATAGTCATCGTCTTGAAATAGATAGTTTTGCTAAGTATATAGTGATGAATTTGCAAAAACTTTAGCATCATATACAGATGCTAGCTATCCAATATCATAGTTAATAAAATGGCCTAAGTGATCAACAACACCTTGTATATGAATTGTATAATGTTTTTCCTACTAATATATACATCTTTATTCAGTTTTTTAGGTGCCTCGAATAAATTAATATGGGTACCATCTACAACACTAATTACATCAGGAAAACCTTCGATTTTTGCAAATCCGTTATAAACTTGTTTTCTATAATCTTCACGTGGCCAGACAATATATCGAGATCGTAAAGACTTAATAGCAATAATAACTCGATGCATATATCTAATAATAGATACTTTAGAGGCTCCAAATTTAGCTGCAATATCCCAGATTGTAGATCTTCTACCTAATAAAAATAAAGTTACGAAAAGCTGTAATTCTACTGATTTTTGGTCTTGACCATTAAATACTTTATGATCTTTAATCAGATCGACAATTATCCAAAAGGTTCGTTTTTTCATTCATAGCATTATTTGAAACCTTTTTTCATCGTAATTAAAAAGAATATTTTCATACCAATTACTAGATTTAGGTATAGGGTTAATCTGAGTTAGTAATTTATGCTGTTGAATAACAATTAAGATAATAATTTTTTCATCATCACTAGATGACTCTATAAAATTATTCAAACTATCAGAATTATTTTCACTCTTGATTTAGTATTTTCTTCCAATAATTGAAGTTTAAGTTGATAGTTCATAATGATGATTAGAAGATTATGGATTAGTGTATACAAAAAATAGTCTGTGAAAGTTAGGAATCTTAGTTCGCTAATTTCAAAATTAAATCCAGTTATCTTTGAATTTTAAAGTTCTTGTTAAAAAAAAATTTATTTTATATAACATAATTTTTATAATTTTGTGTTGTATTGTCTTGAATAACGCCCAGGACGTTATTTTGTGACCCGATTTTATAATTAATTTAATCAAAGATTTTTTTAAATTTATTTTTAAATATTAGCTTAAAAATCTTTGATTAAATTACCCTATGAGAAATTAGCACATGGAAATGCATGTACTACTATGGAATTTGGCACGGAAGAAGCACATAATTCAATCCCTACACAGAAATTGATACAGAACTGCATGGAAATTAATTGTAAGGAATTATATACGGAAAGGCATTTAAAAATATGTTACTACACGTAAAAGTATACGTGACAACACGTAAAAAATACGTGAAAATACATAAACATGCACATCAATATGTGTAATGTTGCACGGAATCTGCACCTTTTTACATGCTTTAGACGTGCTGTTCAGTGTACTGTCCCGTATATATTTATGTGCAATTTCATGTTGTCTCGTATTTAAAATTCCGTGCATCTGTACAGTAATTTCTTATAGAGTTAACTAAGGTACAAATTTAATGAATTGCTTTTCATAACCCAGCTGGGTTAAAGTTTGAAAACTTTCAAATAACCGGGTGAGTTTTTGTAAAAAAAATTTTATAGAAATTTATAAAATTTTTACATATAAAATTTTTTAAAAAAAAAGCTGGCTGGGTCTGATTTAAAATTTCGTATTATGAAAACCAGGTAATTAAATTTGTATGGCCTAATAGCTCTCTTAAAATTGTGTTTCGAAATAACATCCTGGGATGTTATTTAGAGACAATATAGTAGATTATAATAATGATATCCTGATCTGTTGGGTATTAGTGGAAATGAAGTTTCCACTTATACATGAGAATCAGGGTAATCCTCCGTGGTATTTATATAGGAATCGGGGATTATATACTTTACACACTTAATATTTTACAATTAATGCTTTTATTTTTTATTAAATAATGATTAACGATAAAGAAGTTAATTCTGAATATATTAAATTATTATCTATTCAGCTTGTTAGAATTAGATAATGAGTAATTCTAAAGAATTTATTAGAAAATTTACTGTGATAAAGAGGTTACATCCAAAGTCCTGATGTATATAAAGAAATTTAGCTACATTATAAAATTTGCTTTATCGAATTTTTAGAAAGGTAAGCCAGCTATATGACAAGCCTATTGTATAAAACAATTATTTTATTGCTTTAAATAGTAATTTAACATTAAATTTTATTTCATCAAAAATCTCTCTGAATAATCAAATTAATGTTTACACGATTTCTAGTAAAAATCAATTATCAGAGTTCATTAATTAATATTTTAGACTATTGGTAGTACTTGGGATTTTGGCAGCGCTTTTGGTAGCACTTTCAACATTCATTTTGTGCTTTCTGCACGATAAGTTTACCGAAAGTATTTTGGCATTTCAAAATGCTTTCAGTAGGCAGGCTTTCAATAGCACTTTCAGCATTATAGAGTTATTTTAACACACTAAAACATTTTCGAAGGCATCCTTAACTCTATCATTAGACTATATCTTTATTTTCACTTTCATTGATCAGAGATAAGGCGTGATTTCTGCTCATAATAATATTATACTCAAATCTAATCTAGCATAGTACATATCATTAATTAATAAGAAAAAAAAGAAAATAACGATAATATAACTGGAAAATTATTCGAATTCTTAAATTTGTCAGCCACATCAGCCTCGCTATTTCTAAATTTGCTTTATTTGCATAAAATATTTTTATTTTACTTATAAATTAGTCCTATTGCATAATATATTTTTTATTCTACTTCTAAATAAGTACTAGTGTACTAGGTTAATATAATACGCCTATAATACAAAACTTGCAGCAACAAATTTACTAGTAGCGTCAACTGGACCAGGCCCAAAATTCTAATATCCGTATTTGATTAGATCCATACAATTTTAGATAAAATGCATGACTATATTGTACAAGTATTATTTGATATATGGCTTTATAACAATAATAAAAGTTTGCCTTTATCGTTATAGTTATTTAAGTTGTATGACAAAATCGAAATTGTTATGACAATATCGAAATTGTCATTGATCGAAATGATCGACATCACATGACTAAAAACCGAGCACAGATTATAATGTCGCGTCCGATTGTAGATCATCTAACATCTAATAGACGCGCATACAAAGGGCTTGGACGGAAGGAACCGGTTTCGGGACTTTTCTTACTTCGTTACGATTTGAGGTATTGGCTTCGTCATGGGAACTTTTTAAATGCTTCAAACGTCTATCAAACCGAAGCTGCACTAAATTTTTTTTTTTTTAGAACTCTCGAATGTAGATATTGACAATTACCTGATCACATTTGACAAAATTTTTTAATTTCTTTAGATTTTCAGAATTCAAAAACTTGAAACTTCTATTAAGACAGAAGCTGCGCTAAAACTTTGAATGCAGATATCGATATATAAATAACTACCCGATCAATTCGATATATTTGAATCTGAAAATCTGTAGAATTAAAATAGAAAAATTTTATTGAATTTAATCATCTATTGTCGAGATAGATGTTTTAAATTTTTTGAAACTTTGAGTCGACAACTACCTGATCAAATTCGACGATTTGAATTCTAAAGAATTAACATAAAAAATTTTCATTTAATTGATACTTTTGTTAGTTTCACCACCTTTCATTAGTTTTGTCGCTTTTTAGCAGTTTCGCCACTTCTGCCACTTTTCGTCAGTTTGCCATTTTGCTATTTCAATTTTTTTTTTTGTTTTTTTTTTTTTTTTTTTTTTTTTTTTTTTTTTTTTTACGAAAGATGGAACCAGGCTTCGCCTAACGACCGACCTATAAGAATTAGCCAATAATAATAACATTGCACGTAGTGCTGCGCAGGATCTGTGAAGTATTAATCAAAGGTGAGGCAAACTTGATTATGTGTTTTATATTACTCCGTTCTCTCCTTTGAAAGAAGGTTTACAGAGTAAAGTTTAATTTTTTTTAAAAAAATTTATTTCGAAATATTTCGGTAACTATATAAATATTTATGTAAAATTTTTTTACTAAGGTTTTGTCTATACAATGACGAACGCGAATAAAAATTTTCTTTCCTGAAATGTTGTACGAGCCATAACGACAAAAGTTGTATCATACATATAGAACCATTACTCTCATTTACGTACGTATTAATGCTAACGTAATACAATTTGATCAAAAGCTCGATTTTCTCAATTCGTCATATACATTTTATTTTTTCTTATTAAAAAAAAAAAAATGTCAGACTTTCACGCTTTTTCTAATAACTGCTCTTTCGATTTCGAAGACTATATTAAAACAGAATTAGGCCTAGGAGCGAACAATGAGTCAGGTATAGCTTTGATTAACTTCTCTAAGGGTGTTTTTATTTCTTTGCTAACTTTTCTTCTATTTACTCGTTTTTTTTTCACTGTTGTCTCTATTGTTATAAAACTTATAGCTTTTTACCTTGTTTTCATAATCTTCTAATTGGGTTTTTCCTCTTTATGAAAAGATCAAATATGTCAGGATTTTTTGAGAGGAACATGCACTAAAGGCTCAAAATGCGAATTTAAGCATACAACAAACTTTCGAGAAAAAGCTGTAGTATGTAAGCATTGGTTACGTGGTCTTTGCAAGAAAGGTGACCAGTGCGAATTCCTTCACGAATTTAATATGAGAAAAATGCCTGAATGTTGGTTTTATTCGAGATATGGAGAATGTAGTAATGAAGATTGTATGTATTTGCACATTGATACTGAAAGTAAAATTAAAGAATGTGCTTGGTATGCCAGAGGATTTTGTAAACATGGTATGTTTTTCTGTTATTTTAATTTTTATATTTTTAAAGTCTTTAATTTTCTTTTATATATATATATATAATTTATCAGGTCCTCATTGCCGGCACAAACACGTTCGAAAAGTTGCTTGTCAATTATATTTGAGCGGATTTTGCCCTAAAGGATTGGGGTGCCCTAATGGACAGTAAGTTATTTTACTCTTGACAATTTCTTCAATTTCTTTTTATATTTATTGATCTCATTCTAAAACTAATTTCGTTTTCTAGTCCAAAATATGAATTACCAACTACTCAGCGAGAACACGATGGTCATGAAGAAGAAAGTCTTCACAGGAATTTTAATGATAATGAGGAGGTAATATAAATGTGGTTATATAATTGCATTTTATGAATAAAATTTATAAATAAATTATTCAACTTAAAATCTTTAATCACATTGCAACAGCGTACAGGAACTCATTATACTAGCCTCCGTTCTCTGGCAGAAGTTACATGTTTTAAGGTATTTCAATGTTCAACATTTTGTGTAAACTTTAAATAAAGTTTTTTTTTTTTTAAATCAATTCTATAATCTCGTAGAATTCATTTATTAAATTTGATCAAGTTTTTATTATGTTATCTTTCGTTTAAAGTTTTTTAAAAATTTCATTCAAAAGTTTTAGTGCGTTTTTATCTCATCATCCTCATTTGATTATTTACCGTAAGAGATTTGCTAAAGCATTGTAGTTTTATGAATTGATTATTTATCGAGATGATTTAAAAATCAGATGACCAATATAAATATTACAAGGCTTCAGCGCGTCTCCTAGTTAAGCATTGTTTATTTAAACTCGCTAACAACCTTTTTTTTTTTTTAATTTATAGTGTGGAGAAAAAGGTCACTTTGCTAATCGTTGTCCCAAAGGTCAAGGAAACCGATATTAGATAATTAATAACAGGTTTGTTTAGATCCACTGAGTTTAATGAATTAATTCTTTGTCTACGACTTTTGGTGAGGTAATTCATACACATGTAAAATACATATAATGAGATAATCGTCGCACATGAAGAATTTAATTTTTTTATTAACATGTATAATACAGTAATAACATAATTTTCTCTTAATATAGTGTTATATTACAATTAGATTATGATTTTACGTTAGACTTTTATTCCTAACTTGTTTGTATAATTAATTTTTGGTAAATAAAAATATTAAATAAATTAATCTAACAAGTGGGATTTTTTTTTTTTTAATACGTATCAATGTGTCCATGTTGTTTAATGAAATTTTCATGCTTATTTATTCAGAATCGTTTGTTGAATACTTTATAATGATATCGGGTCACAGCCAATTTATTTTTAAAAATGCCACCTTATGATGGCTATTATCCTAAGGACATCTATTTAGGCATATGAGATCAAATTATTAGGTCTTAATATTTTTTAATTAGTGCTTAAGGCAGGTCATTACGGGAAAGATGGCAGTCAAATTTCTTATTAGCCTTCACGGGTGAAATCCTTGAAATCTGATTGTGCTTCAACTTTTGGAGCTTGTAAAAAATAATTTCAAAAGTTGGTTATAATTTTATTTAATATTTTAATCAATAAAAAACGATTGCAATTTTTTTTTATTAAATTTTTATTTTTATCATACACTTTAAACAAACGAATCAGAAGAAGAAATCACAATAAGTAGAGGCATAGCTATAGATTAAAGTAGGCATATAATAATCTAGATAAATTATTCAGATAATAGAATATGTAATGCAATACAAACACTATCTGGTATAGACCAGATATAATACAGATAATTCGGATAAGTTATCCGGATAATAGAATTATGATATCGGGTAATGTGCTTAATTATCTTTAGATAAACAGATTATCCGACTTCACTTTTAACTAAAAAATAAAGTTATGTCACTGGGTTGAAATTTAAAATGCAGCTTTAACACAGCAATATACTGTATAATAATTTAACCAAAATAAAATTATTTTTCTTTCTAATTGTTGATTAATATAATGCCTAGAGAAATACTCAAGTATTATCAAAGTTAAGAAAATGCAAGAATAAATTAATACGTATAATATTGTTTTTATTTTGTAAGCAGAAATAATATAATAAATAATTTGAATAAAGAATAATAAATACGCAATTACGAGAAAATAAGCAACCAATAAAATGACTAAAAAAAAAATAAACGAACTAAACTAATAAATTAACTAACAATGAATTTTTCGCCAACTCTAACCCTGATGCTAAAGTTAACCCTAAACTCAAAAGCAACTAAATTCACAACCATCAAGACAACAAAATAAAAATAACCGATTTCAGCACACAACCTATCCGAGTATCTTCTTATTTGATCTTTTTACAAACGGATATAAACCTTCAACCTAGTATTAAAAATAAGAATTGTTTGGTGAGTA